ATTGACCATGGCAACTTATCGGGTATCCTGCATTATGTCGGACTCCTATCTTGTTTTCTATAAATTTCATGAACAACGCAGTGCAATGAATCAAGGATAGGTGTCACAATTCACCTCGGTCGTGTCACGGTCGCCAAAAATGTTAATTCCTAGAAAAACTCAATGATACAAAATACAACTGCCTTTATTTATCTGTCATAAAAGCTTATTTTACAAAGCACATTCACATTTAACGCAACACATAACACAGGGTACTAAATAAAGAGTGGAATTCATCAATTCTGTTTTTGGGAACTCTTGTACTGGCAACGTATTAAGAAAATTTAACAAAACATTTTTAAATCGGAATAAACGTTGGCCTGACGTGTTAATGTTAGAGTGGTATTTGACAAAATATTGATTCTTGAGGCAGAGTTGTGCGTTATTTAAAAAATAAAACCAAAAACAAAATTTTGTTGTTTTCAGATTACCTCTTAATCGAAATTGTGACAATTGCGACACGTCAAATTTGACAATTGCTTGCTACCGCTTTCATTATTTGATCGCATGTTGCTACATTAGCCGATAAAAAATTCGTTAGTTTCACAACGAACAATAATTGTAGAAGTATAACTTCCGTACGTCTCACTGCGGTATTCTAAGCCAAAAGTTGTATAACCCATAATGCCATCGGGTTTACCAAGAAAAAGTAAGCAACTTATCTGCTGTGTTACTAATCATGAAATGCACTAACGGTCAAATAAGACCTTTTTTGTGTTAAAAATGACTTTTCAAAATTTCAATCAAAGGTAGGTACCTTGATTTTGTTAAATGGAACTACTTTTCTTTATTGCATCAAATGTAGGATTTGATTACATTTCTAACGATATAAACATGTCGTACTTATTTTACATATTTTTTATAATTCAACGATTTCTAATAATTCCCAGTATTTTTCAAAGTCTATCAGTGATTAGTTTAATTAAATTAATTAATTAATTGAATTAATGTGTAAAGAGAATGCGTCAAACTAAAATTTGCTGTATTGGAATTACTTCTTTTCCTTCTTTGTACATATGTTATTGTATAAAACTTATCTTTGACAAAATTTCTCAATATCAAAAGCTCAGGGCCGTAGCCAGATTAGTTATAAAAGCGGGCAAATAAATCTACAGAGCGGGCAGGCGAAATATTAACAATTTGCTGTGTTCTGCTGAAGGAATTCGTTTTTAGCGCAATCCATGAAAGTGGAGCGCTTATGACTTCACATTTCCGTCCGTCTGCGTGTCGTTCCGTATTATAGCTCAGTCCCTAGACCTCGTATCGACTATCAAAAATTAACTTTGGCATTCATCACGTGTTATATAGCTCTAAATTGGTCAAAACTATTATTTATGCACCAATTTTGTTCGGAAAAAGATCAAAATAGATTACTCGATGACCAAGAAAACATGTTTTTATCCAAAGGATTTCAAAATCGTTATTTATGCATAGATTTTCTTGGGAAATTCAATTGCCCCTGCGTACTTTTGTTCACAAAAAAATGTCAAAATCGTTATTTATGTACCGATTTTCTGGGGAAGAAGAACTCTTATCGACTTCTGGTTTTCCCTATAAGAAACTTTATGGTTCCAGATGGTCAACTATCAAGAATTAATTTTAGTTTCCCTCATTTTATTGCCCAATAATATCGATCCAAATCTTTATTTATGCACCAATTTTTTTGGGAAAAAGACCACACTCGATGTATCGACTTAAGAAGTTGGAGGTCATTTGTAGATCTCTCCTCGGGTCTCTCTGTACTACGTATTGCAGGTGGTAAAAAAGATAATAAAATGGTAATAATACAGGGTGAGTTTTTTTTATTGTCACCATGGGGATCTCGTAAACCGTACGAGATGCAAAGTCGCTTAAATGGGTAAAGTTACGCACACTTTCATGCCGATTAATTTTCCCTTTCAAAGTTTCTTGCAGCTTTACAAATTAGCGAAATTCTGGCCAAAAAACCGAAAAATATCGTTTTCGAAGAAGCGCTGGAGATATTTAATAATAGAAAACTCTTAAATCCATCTTTCAACCTAAACCATCTTCTTAATTAATATCGCTACTTAAAATGGTTGAAGTTTTTATCTCTTGTTTTGTTAATATTTTAAGAAATTTTGATTATTTATGAGCATGCTACATTGTGTTCAGAGCTGGGCAGTATTCGATTTTGTAAATACTTTTTAGTATTCAAATCCTTTAAAGTATTCAAATACTTTGTAATTAAATACTTTTATGGAAGCAATATTTGTATTTGTAACTCAAATACTTTCACAAATATTTAGTATTCGAATACTTCGCAAAGTATTTGGATACTTCGTAAAGTATTCGAATACTTCGCATAGTATTTGAATACTTAACCTTCCTTTTTTACCAAAAATCGACTGCACCAAAATTTCTCGGGAAAACACTTTTTCTTATTAATTTTGTTGCGTAGAATCCAAAACAATTCGTACTTTTTCGATCAGACTTCTCAATCAAAAGTTATAGACTAGAAACCAATTTCGAAAGAAAATTCAAAGGGCTGTAACTTTTGAAATAATACCCCAATCTTGAAACTGTTTGAAATTATGGATTCTACAGGCCAAATTCTATAAGAAACCAATTTCGAAAAAAAAATTCAAAGGGCTGTAACTTTTGATCTAGTAGCCCAATCTTGGAATTGTTTGAAATTATGGATTCTACAGGCCACATTCGATAAGAAAATTTTTATTCCGGGTCGATCTGAGACAATTTTTTCTGCGGGCCTCAAAAAAAGGCAGTGTATAACCTTCCTTTTTTCCCAAAAATCGACTACACCAAAATTTCTCGGGAAAACACTTTTTGTTATTAATTTTGGTGCATAAAATCCAAAACAATTCGTACTTCTTCGATTAGAATTCTTAATCAAAAATTATAGACTAGAAACAAATTTCGAAAAAAGTTCAAAGGGCTGTAACTTTTGATCTAGTAGCCCAATCTTCAAACTGTTTGAAATTATGGATTCTACGGGCCAAACTCTATAAGAAAATGTTTTTTCCCGGTCGATCTCAGACAATTTTTTTTCCGGCCTCAAAAAAAGGCGGTACTTTTAAGTTATTCAAATATTTGAGAACAATTTAGAAATGTTTAGGGAAAGTTTCCATTGTCACAAAATCAAATATAAAAATCCGATACATCTGAATACCGAGCTCGATAGTCTACGTAACTTAAAAACAATGGGGACCTTTCTTATATCCTTAAGACCATGTGTACCAATTTTCAAAGCGATCGCACGTTTCTAAACAAGTTATCATGCACACGGACAAACGGATGGTCAAAAATGGATCTGTTCCAAAATCGCTAGGATTAATTTCAGAAAGGCGTACGTATCATGTGCACGACTTACGATCGCTTTGAAAACTGGTACACGTATTCTTAAGGATATAACTGGTATAAGAAAGGTCCTGGTAGGTACCTCCTATATAATAATATAATAATAATAATACGCTTTTACTCCCCTTAAATTTGTATATAACAATAGAAATATAAAAAAAGCTAACCCCATACAAAGTATAACTTGATTTTTTAAGTATAGTATTAAGACTTTTATCTAGTATACTATTTTAAATTTTTAATGTATTGGAGTGACAAGTATTTGAATACTTTTTACTGTATTCGAATACTTTTCAAAGTTTCGAATACCTTTGTATTTAGAATACTTTTGAAAGTATTCGAATACATTCTAAAGTATTTGAATACTTATTTTTTTAAGTATTTGAATACTTTTCAATGTATCTGTATCTAGTATTCGCTTGTGCTGGACGTAAAAGTATTTAGTATTCAAATACCTTTGATTTGTGTAAAGTATTTACTATTTAGTATTCAAATACTTTTTGAAAGTATTCTGCCCAGCTCTGATTGTGTTATTTACGCAAATTTTGAAAGCGAGAAAAGTGGGCCCCAAGAACGGCCCCCCTCTACCTACGCCCCTGCAATCGCTTATGGGATTGGTTCATTCCTTGTTTATAATGACAGTTCAAACATATCTTTTAGTTACCTATAGGTATATTGTGGAATTTGAGAATTGCAGCCATTTAAAAAAGCTGCTTCATTGGAAGTATACTACCTACTTAAAGTGGGTAAACTAAACTAACTGCTAATTATTTTTATTTTTTATTCAAATCAAGTTTATGGGCACTATCCAGACTATCCTTGTCTGGAGTGGAGTGTTCTCAATTTGCACTTAAATCATTAAATGAAGGTATTTTGAATCAAAATTGTTAATCCTTGCAAGTACTCTGTGATTTAAAATTGACAAACGAAATATTCCGAAGTGATTCCGTGTGAATAAGGGTTATTTGTGTTTTACATAATATGATGTTATCATACGGTTATCATTTCCAATGTCTCCGATGGTTGCAAGGATTGCGAAATCTGTGAATTTGTTTGTTGGAAAGACGAAAAAAAAAAGTTTCTATATAGTAACAATTTAGCAAAATTCTATATATGAAAAGTGACACATTTTTGCTATACTCGTATTTAACACGATATTTCATTTGATATTGCAATAAATTAAAAAAATGTGTTACTCTAGAAACATCGGAAATTTCATTGCGAAGAGATCCATGTATCATTTACCACTAAATAATTGAAACTGAAGTCTAGGGAATTTTTCAATTAAACCTCTACAAACGCTCATAAACGAACTGGGTGAGATCCCCCTTAAGACATGATACAAACCCAAAAAGTCTTCTTTAAAGCTTGAGAAACATATTTAATGATGCAAGATATTATGCAGTACGCACATTGACCTACACTAATCACTTTTTAAAAGATGGATGAGACAAAAGAGATAACCTTTAATCCTAAAAAACTAATTACTAATAACCCCGAACCAATATGCCAAAATTATCTCATTTTGCTTGGAAATACAACTGTAAAGATCCCCTTTTTTACTAGGCAATTGCCTCAGTTTCTTTATAAGGCTCGGTCGATATTTGAAACCATCAGTATATAAAATGACAGTGTTGAAAGTGACATTAATACTCTGGTTGTGTTGTTTAACTCGTCAAAGGGAGTTGGATGTGTTCGACTATTCCGACATCTTGTCCATTAGAAAGGTAGATACAGAGAAAGAACCTGTCCATATTTTGTATACAAACTTCTACCGCCGATTTCAAGATGACCACGCATTCAACAAGTCAACAATTTCCCGGATATTTATTACAAGTTATAACTTCGCCACAATCAAAGACAACACCTTTGATAATTTTCCAGAACTAGTGGTGCTCAATTTAGATGACAACGGAATTGAATATCTACCCGAACAGGTATTTGCAAAAATACCTAAACTAAATTATCTTGGTTTAAAAGAGAACAAGTTAAAAACTGTGAACTTTGATGTAGGAAACGTCGAAATCCTGGATCTGGGCAAGAATCGTTTAGAGAATTTGTCCAACGACACATTTAGCAAAGCAACTAAACTTACCAATCTTGAGCTAGACGGCAACTCAATTGGATCATTCGAACCGCTGACCTTCCGAGGGCTGAGCAGCCTGGACGTTCTAAGCTTAAAGGAAAATAAGATCGAGAACATTCCCCGTGACCTTCTCAAATTCACCCCTGCTCTCACGCAGCTTTACCTAGACGACAACGTGCTTCAAATCGTTGATCCAGAGATATTTACGTACACGCCTCTCTTGCAAACTCTCTCCTTAAACCACAACAAAATCGCCACTCTACAGCCAACTTCCTTAAGCACTCTGCGTAATTTGAAGACACTCAATTTAGGTGGCAACAAACTGTCGACGTTACACGAAGAGACATTTAAAGGTTTAGACCAACTACTCGCACTTCATCTGGAAGAAAACGACCTGCAACATCTTCCAAGCGCCACTTTCCAAAACCTGCCTCATCTCTTAAACCTGCAATTGAATAACAACAAACTCACGGAGCTGCCAGTTGGGCTTTTCTCAAAGTTAAAGAGTTGCTATAACCTGGATTTGTCAAACAACAAGCTGGTCGAGCTTCAGGACGGGGTCTTTGCAGGTCTTCAGAGTTTGTACAAATTGAAGCTCGCCGGTAACGGCAACATGACAATATCCCAGCACGCTTTTGACGGTTTAAGTTCTGTTACTATCTTAACACTTCCGGCCTTAGAGAATGAAGACCTTAAGAAAATTGAGGCATTTCAGGGTTTACAGGAGGTGACAGTTCAGGGAATCAATTTGGAAAATGTGAAGATTGGGAATATGAGATTTAAGATTAGGTACTTTGATGTGTGGAACGTTTTGAGGGTGTAATTAGCACGAATAAAGAAAATGTAATCATTTTTAAAAGATTTTTTATTCGTTTGAGACCAGTATGGTCTGAGGATGGCATTGATGTACGTAGTGTAACGAGAGCACTTTTATTTGAATTTTAGTTCGCGATTTTTTCCCGTCGAAATACGCGAAAGTGGAAATTGATAAGTTGTAAAAGTGTCAAGGTTCTGAGAACATACCCCCAAACAATTAATATTGTTCGTGGTAGCTTCAAGTTTTGTTTTGATGATTGGAATAAGTGTTATATACGTCATTTCTGAGTTTTTTTGTTCTGTTAATTACCTCTAATCTTGATTCGCGTCAGGGTCTGGTTTTGAATTACACTCTGTCAATTAACCTTCTCTGGTTAATACTGCAACTCAACTAATTGGGAATAAAGGTGTTTCACCAGCCCTAACAGCTTTTTACTAATCGTGGAAAGTTTGCCACCAATGAAAATGAATTAAATAATTTGTATAAAAAATTAGATGGTAAATTTGGAACTAATGTGAAGCAAATTTTAGCTCTGTTTGCCACCAATAACATGACCGTCTACAGTCCTTTTTCGTAGGTTCAAAGCAGCAATCGTACCGTACTATTTTCACGAAATAACAATAAAGCCAATTTATATGCTTACAATACATTACGGATCCTCTCCTTCTAAACTCTAAGGTTCAAGTAACTGTTCGAAATATACTCCCGTTTATATTCAATATTCTCACGCTATCCCCATCAGTCATCGAAAATAATTGCGGAAAATATTGTTTATTAAGGGCCGGTCTTTTATGTTGCAATTATAAACATGTCAAATACAACGGAATGCGCTTATTGAATTATGCAATAGTGATGCAACGTTTCTTTTCACACGCATTTCAAGGGACCCTAACAAGTATTGGTATGAGAATTCAACAAACATTAAATAATTGTTATTTAGTACACAAGACGCTAAACGAAACCATTGAGTAATTTAATTTTCACGACATGTTTAGTTTCGCGTATAAACCAAACTTTAATTTATAGCAGAAGTCATATAAATCATTGTAAAGCTTCTGCCAATTCTGATTTTTATTTAGACGCCACAAATAGTACGCTTAGGTTCTGCTGTCGCGGTCGTTTCCATACAAACAGCATTGTCATGTTCTGAACTTCATTACATATGGTGCTCCGCGTCCCATTTGGTATAATAATAAGCATAATCATGCAGTTCACTTGATCGAAAGTATGTGCTTTATCTATTCTTACGGTTACAGAGCGATTTAGCCTTCTCATTTCAACATAAAATACACAAAAAAGTAGGTAAATGACTTCTATTTTATATAAACTCTTAAAATTTGTGCCCAGGTGTAAATGAATGTTGCCATTAGTTGTCTTTAAAGTATTTCTCATGCTTTTCAGCGCCAGTTCCTAAATTTAATCTTCTTAACATCGCTAAAAAGTTTCCAACAGATTTGACCGGATTTTTTACGTCTTCAACCCTCCAATAGTAGGTATAATAAATTTGAAAAGCTTGCTAATTAGCGCAAAGAGCTTTTCATTTTTCAAATAAGTAAGCTTCATTTGTAGAGTGTGCATAACACGTGTTGAAATAAGCGACATATTTTTATTTCAATTAACAAGTACAGAGAAAGATCAATACGTCCTTGCGTCCTATTAATTACTAATTTGTCACACGGAAAGCAAAATACTTTCCTTTTGTTACAACTTGTATGCCACTGTCACGATTCTATTTTATTTTAGGCAATCAACCTTTAACGCTCAATATAGTTTTCATCGGTTTTTTGTCGGCTTATTCGTGCCGCATGAACTTTTCAAATTGGAAAGAAAAACGCCTACCATTTTAAAGATCAATGTCGCAAAAAGTAGTTTAACAGGGATTCATGTTAAAAACGGCATGATAGAATCTGTTTCACTGCACAACAAAGCGGCGAAATATAAAAATTCTTTCGGTGAAAGAAAAGAAAATACTTTTGTCGTATCGAAGCTATATACCTTGTAGCAAAGAGCGAAGGATTATCGATCCTGGCGACCCTTTCAGCTGTGACCTTATTTGGGTATGGAGCAAAAGATTCTATTCCAGTTTTCAGAGGTAATGTTTACCGCAATTACTGAATATGAAGGCTAATAAGAAAGTGAAAGAACCTAATTGGGCCAATGAACTGAGAGAGACATTAAACCTACATAAAAAAATCTGCCACTGTAAACCTATCCCAATTATAGTTTTATTTTTTTCTTTTATGGGCCGATGAATAAAAAATCCTACTTTATGGCGAGATTTTAGCCATCGTTAAATTTGAGAAAGCATAAGATTCAGAGAAAAATTCCATGGTCTTAGTAGAAATTATTAGTGGAGCTTTAAGACGACAGCGTCCTTCGTCTCGAGGAAATAAATGTATTAAACTTTCTTTGAAAAGCAAGCTTCTATGAAACCAAAAATGAGAGTTGTTTCAACTTTTAGCATTTTAGCAAATATTACAACGTTTCGGGTAATTAAACGAGATAGCCATTATCTGATAATAAGAGAGGACTCTGCGTTATAAATGTCACGTATTTTACAAGGTTCCCCACTTATGTTGCGAACATTTTTATCGCATTTAAAGATAATGAACCCAGGAGGCTGTCTTCTTACAATTAGAAATGTGAATTAGCGTACTCATTAGGTTATATTCTTCTCATTTTCTCTTCAGTTTACTTGTCTTCTTTACCATCAAACTTGATTTTCGTTCTTTCCCTCCGATCCTACGCCAATGTTCTTTAGTTTTTTTCGCCTCTTCTCAGAATATTGTTTTCTAAGTTTTCCGTTTCTCTTCAGTCTTCCTTCCTCATCACGTGTCCTTTTTTTATTCACTTCTAGAAAGCAGAAACGAATCTCGTTACCTTTCTTGTTCTCGTTAACTCTTTTTCTATTTCAATTTTTCATCTTTCGCATAATTTATTGGCAATAGCAATTTGCTATCTTGCGTTTGGATTTCCAGAATTCCACTTTCTGCACTTTTCTTAGTAAATCATGTATACTCATAAGAAATCGACTTGCATTGGATCGATCGAAAAATGAGTATTTTTTAAAGATTACAGCCTCAAGAGCTTGCAATTATTATTATTATTATTATTATACAGTGGACTTGTCTTAGATCGACTGAAAAATGTATATTTCTGATGAGGAATATCGAAAAACAAAAAACTTATGAAAGCGTGGAGTAGGTGTATTAATTCACCTTATTTAGCGCCGGTCATTTTCGCAGAGCGCGTCGTGCAATTTTAAGCCAATCCGTTCACTGGGTGGACCTCGACGAAAGAAATGAGCCAAGACTCTCAGATCGACCGGGAAAAAACATTTTCTTATAGAATGTGGCCTGTAGAATCCATAATTTTAAACAGTTTCAAGATTGGGCTACTGGTTCAAAAGTTACAGTCTTTTGAATTTTCTTTCGAAATTGGTTTCTAGTCTATAACTTTTGATTGAGAAGTCTAATCGAAAAAGTACGAATTGTTTTGGATTCTACGCACCAAAATTAATACGAAAAAGTGTTTTCCCGAGAAATTTTGGTGTAGTCGATTTTTGATAAAAAAAGGAAGGTTATAGGTACACTGCCTTTTTTTTGCCCCGAAAAAAAAATTGTCTCAGATAGGGAATGCAAACAAATCTCAATCCCGGTATTTTCGGGATTGTTAGATGTTAATCCCGCGGGATCCCGGTATTTGCGGGATCCCGCAAAACTTTAAATAAATTGCCAAATAAGCAATTCTGTGCGGTTAACTTCTGTATTAAAATAAATCGCTAATTATCACAATATTTAACAAAAAAGTGCCTTCAGCCTAACTTAGAGCTCAAAAAAACCTCACCTGTAAAGCACAAAAAAGGTGAACTTTTAAAGTGCCTCAAAAATTATAGTACATTTTAACGAAAAAAGTTTAACAATTATTTAAAAAATAACTTCTCCGTTATGCGTTTCATTAACAAAGTAAACAGAGTCGTCCCCTTGGTCGACAAATTCCTCGGTCCCGCAAATCCCGCGGGATCCCCCTCCATTTATGTGCGGGATTAATCCCGCAAAAATGCTGGTGGATCCCGGTATTTCGGGATCCCGCGATCCCGGTATTGCATTCCCTAGCCGTGGGGTATAGCATACAATTTTTAAATAAAAACTTAAATCAAAAGACAGTAGTAGCATAGTGCTAAATATGGACTACCTATATAGGGTGTATGTCTTCTCTGGCAGCCACACCTAGCTACTCCACCGAGTAACCGGCTGGAACATTACCTACTTGATAATATGATAGGTAGGGTATTCTCACCATAACACGGCAATCATTCGTTCGTGTATAATTTTTGGGCCTGTAAGCTTCTTAGTCAAATATTTGTTTTCCATCACTCATTTTGCAATATTCAAACGTAAAACCGCAACCGCTACAAAAAATTGTACGCCAGTAGCTAGTTTACTTGGGATATATATAATTGCTGAAGCTGTTTCATGGTTAAAAATTATTGCGTTTTTATCGCTAGGTAGGTACTAATCAATCCCAAAAAAGACATTCTCAACAACGATATACAAACTAATAATTACATAAAAATCCCCTCGTATAAATAATATCTATATTGTAATCCCGTTTGAAATAAGAGAACTGTATACGACGTACAGAATATTTTTAAAAAGAAATTGCTTCGACTGAGAAATTAAGCCACTGAAGGGTCTATGAGTGTCCTTATATAAATTAAATATATTTTATTTTTGTTCGAGAAGGCTAAAGTAAAGCTCGCAACGTTTGACTTGCAGAAATAAGCTTAAAGCACGCCATCAATGAACGATTTTTTGTTTCAATAGAAAGTAAGGCTCGGTACTCCAAAATTATAACAAAAGGTGTGTAATGTTGCAGTAAAGTTTTTTGCAGTCACTCAGGAAATGTTAATCTATTGCAACCTTACCTTGTTTCTATACCTACGTCTCAATTTTAATTTTAAAATGTGGGATCGCACCGTCCAACTTTCATATGAATTTCGTTAC